CCTCCTCCTCCTCCTCCCCTCCTCCTCCTCCTCCTCTCCTCTTCCTCCTCTTCCTCCTCCTTTTTCTCCTCCTCCTCCTCCTCCTCCTCCTCCTCCTAGTCCTGGTCATCCTTCCCATCCTCCTCTTCCTCCTCCTCCTCCTCATCCTCCTCCTGCTGCCCCACCGCTGAAGTGGAAAGTCCCGAAGCGTCCACAATGTAAATGGGCAAAAAGGCGACGAGGGACCCCGGGCACCCCAGAGACCCCAGACGCAGGGCAGGCCCCAAGCCAACGCATCAACCCAAGAGGGGAGACCCACGGAACGAAGAAAGCAAGAGCGGGAGCAGGAGGCCGCAAGGGAGGTTGCGTAGGCCCAGGACCCGCAGAACCCCAGACAGGACCCCCGCGGGCGAAACCCCAGGACAGCCAGCAGTTCGGGCCAAACATAGCTGCAACGCCCGCACGGCCCCAGCCTTCAGGGTCTCCTATTGGCTGTACTTGCTGCGCAGGTAGCGCAGGACGCCGTCCGGCACCGCGGAATCCTCGGGGTCGAGAGTGTCCGTCTTCGTTTCCACGTCCCCTTTGAATATTGAAAGCAGCCGGCCGCCCCGCCGCTGGGGCGTGATCGCGGTCTTCAGCTTGAAGATCCTCACCTGGCGCTCGTAGGTGCGAAGTGGCACTGACTTCCCATCCCACTCAGGGACGTACTTCTCGTCTCCCCGATCTCGCCTCTCGCCGTCCCCGACGGCTCTGCCGACGGCACAACAGCCGCACCGGCCGCCCCAGCTGCAGCTGCCCGACCACTCGCTGCCCACCCAGGCCCAGCTCGGGTCAGACTCTGCCTCTGCAGCCCGCTCGCGCCAGGTGGTCGCCGCACCCGGCGTCGGTCCAGAGGGAGTCCACCGACTCCACTCCCCAGACCACTGGCCGCCCCGCTCGGTCCACGGGGGGCCACGCGTGGTCCGTCCACTGCACGGACCCCCACGCGTCGCCGCTGCCCCACGCGCTCGTTGTAGGGGGTCCTCGCTCCGCGAGGGGTTCCTGCGCCGCGCTCGGCCCACACTCCGTCGCCGGCCGACCAGAAGCCCTCATCCACCTCCGGGGCCCCGCCCCGGGGACTGCCCCCTGCTCCGGCACACTGTGCCAGCGCCCGGGCTGCCGCCGCCCAGGCGTCCATGTCCCGCTCTGCGGGCGCACTGCTCATCCCGCACGGGGGGTGGCCTCACCCAGGCTCTTCCGTCGCGACTTCCGCGACGGCACACTACGCCATGGATCGAACCCGCTCGACGGTAGCTCCGCTACCAATGTCGATGTGATGATCTTTTTCACCACACGCGCGCTCAAGCCCCGCGGTGGGGCTGGTAAGTTGGCTGAGCCCTTCCTCCGACTCAGGAGGGCTTGTGCCAGAAACGGTAGCGGGAAGGGAGGCAGGGGAATATCGCAGCAGGGATCTTCAACATACACCATCATCATCACCACCACCACCACCATCATCCTCATCGTCAACATCGCCGCCACAAACACAACCATCAGCATCATCAGCATCATCAGCATGAACATCATCCTCATCATCACCATCACCATCACCATCGCCATCACCATCACCATCGCCAACACCATCACCATCACCCTCACCATCACCATCATCACTATCCTCACCACCACGACCATCATCATCATCATCCGTCGCCTTCCATCTCTACCCCGCCTCCACCCTCCTCGACCTTCTGGGAGCGACGATGAGCAGAGACAGCAAACCCGCGCCCCTTGCGAGGCGTGTGGGTGTGCGCAGGGCGCGAGCCCGCGCGTGCGAGGCGCCGGCGGCGGGCCCGTCCTTGAGCATGTCGCGCGTGTCTGGATCCACCTGGATTGAATCGATGTCCACCTGGGCGAGCGCCTCCTGTTGCTATTCCTCCTGCTCCACCTCTGCCCCCTCCTCCACCTCCTCTTCCGCCTCCAGCTCCCTGAGGCCCACGCGAAGACGACGACGACGACAGCGAGGGGGAAGACGACGACGACGACGACGACGACGACGACGACGACGACGACGACCCCACGCGCCCGTGCACCTCGGACCGATCCGGCACGTACTCCATGCGCCGCTCGCGCTCCTCCTCCTGCAACTTCAGGGAGATGCCGCGCACAGGACCGCGCTGAATCCTCACCAGGAGGAGGATGGGTAAAAATACGGGATGGGAGAAGAAGGAGAATGAGGAGGAGGAGGAGAAGGAGGAGGAGGAGGAAGAGGAAAGAAAGGCTGGCCACTGTAGACTTTAACCCCAACGCCAAGGGACCCCCTTCGCGACGGGGGTGAGGACACACTCGTATGCCCCCTGTCGCCACATCCCCTTGATCTGAAACACCGATGAAAAAGCATTACCGTGACATCGTACGCTTGATGGCCAACTGTATAGTGCTCAGGAGCTCTCCTCTTCATCAGGTGCGTGGTGAAGCCAGCAATCTTGTTGCGCAAGCGCTTCGACGGGATCGTCGCAACCTCCTCCGCGATTTTCTTGTTCACCTAGGGGGATGCTATTTCTTGAGCGACGCATGCATCAAATCCACCCCGCCTCGACCGATGAGAACCGTGCGAGTGCAATGCCATGACGGGGCGGGCAATCTAACAAAGTACGTTTCTGGTAATCCTTCCCCTCCCTCCCTTCGTCTTCACCTGCAGTTTCTCGTGGTCAGAACTTGCCCAAGTGCTTACGCTCTGGCTTGTCCTGCGTGGGCTCTCGGGAGATGGCCCGGGTTGGCGAAGCCAACCGCTGCCGCCGCCGCCCCACCATGGCTGCCACCGCACAGTTCTGGCTCGCCATCCTGTTTACTTGCTGACTGGCCGATCTACCAGTCTCCGATGCCCAGATGAGCTGCTGTGCAGGCTGATTGCATGTGCTACGCAGATAGCGAAAAACTCTGTCAAAACGTTTATTAAGGACGGGTGGCAAGGACGCAAGACCCTTGGAACCCAAAGTTTGGATTTGTTGGGCGGCGGGCGACCACTGAAAACGGCAAAGGACGGGACACACAGGCAATGACACAAGGGCACCCTAGATGAAGGCGCGCGTCCTTAGTAGGCGCGTTGTCTGTACATTACGTCACGTTCTGACCCCATCCTGACACGCACCTACTCTTGACCGTCCTCCTCCCCCTCCTCCCCCTCCTCTTCCTCCTCATCCTCCCTCACCTCCTCCACCTCCTCCTCCTCCTCCTCCTCCTCCTCCTCCTCCTCCTCCTCCTCCTGTTCCTCCTCCTCCTCCTCCTCCTCCTCCTCCTCCTCCTCCTCCGCCTGCCGTTCCGCTCCGTTCCTGGCCCTCCTTTTCCCCTGCGCAAGTATTGCCTCCTCGCGGCGCACCACGCCTGGAGGCCCCGAGGACCAAGCACCAGCCGGGCACGCCCCCTGGCTCAAGGGCGCCCCAGCGGACCCGCCACAACAGGGCATACAGGCTTCGGAACAAGTAACGAACACGCACGCGAGCGATTTCTTATTCGGCGTTTAGACATTGGGCAGGAAGGAGGGGGAAGGGGGGGTCTGGCTTCGGACCTCTGCTCAGTGCGACTGTTTGCAGCAGTGCGTCCTATGGGGGAAACTCAACTTGCTCGAAACAGGCGCCAAAAGCCAAAATCTACTCCAGGTGTGGCAGCAGCAAAATATCACAAATGCCTTTCAGCCTTGAGCCAAGCCGGTAACGGACCAACGGTCCGTGACCCCTGGCTCTTTTCTCACTAAAATGAACCAATAGCTAAACCTAAACCCGTGAAAATGGAACACCATCACATGGGTCAGATTTTCTAGTAGATTTACCTGGACCCGATTGACAACACAGTACAAACAAGTCAGACATCTTGCTCGGCAAGACGGTATCGGGGAGCAGGAGAGATAGAGGAAAAATTACCGGCCTCCAGGCCCAGCACGATACCTCGGAAGACCGACCACGATATCAGTTCCGAGTCTTGGGCAACGGTCCTCTTCGAGGCGGCCTTGGAACGATCCTTGTTGCCCGGGTCTTGCTTGCGACGCACCAGCTCTTCAGCCTCGTCCACTGGCACTAGCTGGCCGTGGGCGAGCAAGCTCGCCAGGGCAGCGTTGCCCATACTTATGTCATCCTTAATCCACGCATCCACAGGCACACGGGCATGGGGGATCCAGCGAACATGTCCACGAGGATTCTCGAGCGTTTCGCATATCACCGCTAAATCCAAGGCCGCCTGGCGACCCTTCGCGTTGACATTGCCCTCCTTGAGAATTGTATCGTAGATGCTCTTGGCATCCACTACGCGCACCTGCTCCGCTCGGCTACCTAACCGACAGGCACTTCCTAAAGCAATGGTGAATGGCCCGGCCCCCCGATGATAGTCCGACACATCAACGTCCTGAAACACAACGTCCCGATACAAAACCTGGAGAAACTCTACTTCGGCCACTGCCGCGGAGAGGGCCTGGGTCTCGCCAGCGAGAGTGAAAGTAACTTTGCGACAAGCTTGGAACTTTTCCACCCCAGAACGGAGGCTCTAACAGCACGGTCATATATCACGCTCCTGTCCGTGGCCAACGCCATCCAAGCCCCCTGAGCAGGATCGACTGGCAGAGCCTCGCCCAGCTGACCCTCACTCGCTCCAACGCCTCCAGCATCGGGGAGGGGAAGAAAAAAAACCATGCGTTCTGGGTCCAGGCGCCAGATACGGAGGCCCCCAGAGGCCGCGGCTCTCAAAATTCCTCGCGATCGAGAAGGGATTCCTCGTGACATAATATTCCCCGGGAGAAAGATATGGGACGAAGCTCCTCCGATATTATATATATATATATATATATATATATATATATATATATATATATATATATAGAGAGAGAGAGAGAGAGAGAAATAGAGAAAGAGAGAGAGAGAGAGAAAAAAAAAAAAAAAAAAAAAAAAAATGAGAGAGATCCTGGCCCACAGTCGCGCGCTGCGATCCGAAGTGCAGAGACCTCCCGGCATACACCACCGGGCCCGCGCGGCAGTCGCGGCATTTGCCGAAACGGAACCTGCCCTGCAGGCTGGCCCTAAGCCGGCAGCGAAACTCGGCCGACCTGCTGGCTATGACGACGACGTCGACCTCCAAGAGAAACACATTGATAATGTTTCCCTGGGAGTCGTACCAGGTCCACCAACAAGGTCCGAGGAGGCTGCCACGGAAGCCCAGGTCCCGGAAAAAATGGTTTTGCGCCAAGCCAGCGGCGCGTCGTCAAAGCCGCGAACGTTGACTTTCAAACGGATCAGGGACCCTGGCTCAACCTTGAGACCCTCGAACGGTTCCACAAAAATCTCGCCTTGCGAGCGTCGCACCGAGTCAGGCTGGCAGAATGCATTCTTAAAATCAGCTGTATCACTTAGCAGCGACAGGTTCATCATAACCTGAGTAAACATGAAGATAGACGTCGTTGGGGGGTGGGGGAGTACGCGAACAGAGAGCCAGTATCTGGGCCCTTGCGACCATGCACGCACGATCGGGAATTGGCCACGGGCTCGGGAAAGGCCCCCTCCACTGGCTTCCAGCTCCTCACCATGCGACTCGCGATTGTCCTCTCGGGACACGTGCGCCTCGCCGCTGACGCTTCCTTGGGGGCAAGGCTTGACGGCACCGGATTTGGCCATATTCTGCCTCTCCGCGTCGTCTGACACCTCAAACTTGCCTCTCTCGGCAGGGGCATGCTTTCCATGCGACGCCTCTCCGCCGCGCCTAGCAGCGAAAACGACGCACGCCGGCCCCGGGCCCGTGACTTCGGTCGGAACGAGGTCCTCGTCGCCGACAGCCTCCACCCAAAATTGGCCTGGCCCCGCGGGGGCCGCTCTCGACCTGACATCTCGCCTCGTCGAGCCCAATCCTCAAACTCTTCATTCTCCTTCCGACAGGGCTCCTCTGTCGCTGACCAGTGGTCTCTCGACTCGGCAGGGGGTGAAGGCGGACCGGGCGAGGATCGAGGAGGAGAGGCAAACGGGGAAAGCAGAGGACCATAGCTGGGGTCGACCGACGCGGCCGCGCCGGCATCGCTGCTCGCGACGGCCGCTGGTCCAAGGCCCAGGGGAGGTTCGATGCGAACTCTCTCGGCCTCGCTCACGTTTGGCGGGCAACTGGCCGGTCTCTCCTTTACCCGACGCCGAAGAATACATGCTGGCACATCGGCTGGGCGATACGAACCCTGCCTCGACTCTCCCGGGGCCCATTGGGAGTCGGTTGAATGGAAAGCGGGATGGAGAATGGGATCAGGAACAGGGAGAGGGCCCGGAGCGCCGGCGGCAGCGTCGCCGGCAGCGTCGGCCCCCGCGCTCTCAGCGCGCCGGGCCTCCAGCTCTGATACTGATAGAACTCCCTTCGGCTATCCCCCTTTTGCTAGGTCTGGAGGGGGAGAGGTGGCAGGCGGGGTGATCTGGGTTCCTCCGGGAGAGACTTGCCGGGAAGGGTCCTCTACGGAAATCGACGGAAGGGGGCGTCTCGTCAGATCCGGCTCGAACGACAACCGAGCCCCCGGCCGACGAGGGGGCCCGCGGACGGATCCCGCATACCCGAGGGCCCCATTGGGGTCGAGGCCCCGGTCTGGCCCCTCACCAACTCCTGGCCCGAGAGCATCGCTTCATGGTCTGGGGGGACCGGCGGGGACACCGAGTCCGAACCTGGAGCCAGCGCCTGATCCCAGGCGTCGTCCGGGGGAGAGCCCTCGCGCTGCACGTCGACGGCTGATGCGCGTCGGGCCTGAGCCTGGCTCAGCAGCACGGCCCGGCGAGGGCCCCGAGCTAACTGGATGCCGAACTCTTCCTCGGAAGAGGCCAGACGCACCTGCGCGGGCGAACGCCCAAAGCCGAGCTCTCACCGCCACCCGCACGGCCCCGCTTTCCGCCATAACCACGACCCCGGGACCAGCCCAGGCACCCCGACGCCTGCCTGGCGTGTCGGACGGAGGACCAGTCTTGGTCGTGCCACGCAAACACCCACTGTCCCGGTGCAATGTTCACGGTGGGCCCGGCGCGGGCCCGGCTGGCTCTGGATATTCTCCCGGGCGGCGGTCCCGAGACCTCCTAGCAATTCCCGCGCTCTCTGAGATCTGGCAAATTCAGATTGCCACGCAGATTCGGGAAGATCGGCAGGCATCGAGGAACCAGCCTCGATGTCGGCTTTCGCTCGCTCTTTGATTAAACCTCCGTGCCTCTCGACACATCCGTTCTACCACGGTAAATTGGCATCGCGCACGATGCAAAACTCCCCATTGCTCTTGACCTTCAGCAAACCGATATTCAAACTCGGGCCCACCGTCTGGCAGCAAGACATGCGGGGCCCCGAAGGGTCGGATCCATGCCTGCACAAAGGCTCGCCAAACATGAGAGACCTTTGGTTCTTCCACCCGCGCACGCACACACACACACACACACACACACACACACATACACACACACACATCTGCAAGTTCGAGCCGTGATCGACGACGTTAAGGAATGGGACCGAACGCTCCTGAAGCGAAAGGTAAAACAGATCAACACCGACGATGCG